TTGGGCACTATCCTCATCATCTCCCATTTCCTCCCTCTTTGTCTTTGCTCCCTGGCAAAACTATTTGTTGATGATTGCCCACTACTCAAACCAAGGGCAACCTGGCTACAGGAAGCAAGGTATGGCAGTTTGAATAAAAATGGCCCCCATGGGCCCACAGGGTGTGGCCTTGTTAGAGAAGGTGTGGTTTTGTTGAACGAAGAGTGTCGTTAGGAAGAGGCTTTGAGGTTTCAGATGCTCAAGCCAGGCCAGTGTCTCACTCTCTTCCTGCTGCCTGCTGATTGATCCAGATCTTATCTCTTAACTACCTCCCCAGCACCATGTCTGCCTGTGTGCCACCATGCTTCCCACCATGATGGTAATGGACTAAACCTCTGAACTGTAAGCCAGCTCCAATGAAATGTTTCCCTTTATAGGAGTTGCCGTGGTCACGGTATCTCTTCACTGCAATAGAAACCCTCACTAAGAAACATGGCTTGGCATTGGTGAACAGGCTGTTGATAACTTTATCTCACCATGTTAAATTAAGAAGAGTGAGTGTGGGAACTTCATAATGCAGATGAAGATGGCCCATGACATTGACCTCTAAGCCCAGACTAAGCTCTTAAATATAAGCCCTGAGCCTTCCCCGCTTCATCGTAACTATTTGATGTCATGCTGAACTCAGGTTCTAAATGAGTTAAACAGGTTCATGCCTGGGCATCTTGAATTAGGTCTTGGAGAAACTGAAGTAGAATAGTACTTTTTGCAGCATTTACAGAGGTGGTCACACCAGTTTTCTTCAACTTTTAAAGATCCTAATTTTCAAGACATAATAAAAACAAACCACAAATTCAAACAGAAAAAGTATGTACTAGCAACACCTAAGTTTATATTATTAACTACAATTGACATAACATCCGTTTGAGTAAAAATAAGAACATAATTTAAAGAAAAAGGGAAACAGTTCAATAAACATATGGACAGCATGCACTGAATACTCCAGTTAGGTAAATATAGACTCAGTTGACACTGAATTTAGTTGTTCCACAGTCAAAGCTGAATCAAAAGTTAGCTTTAACAGACTCGCCACAGCCTACGCCTGTGTTGATGATACAATATACTTATTGATATTTAGAATTTGTAGGGTAACAAATGAGCTTCCATCTTGTTGACTGATAGATCAAAACTAGGTTGGCTTGATGAGAGCAGAATGAACATTTACGACACCGGCATGAACTTCTGCGCTTTGTCTGCAGACACAGTTACTGGAAAAAACAACTGTATAGACAAAGATGGATGGGAATGGAGGAGGCTCCTTCAGAGACATGCCCCTGAGCTTCAGAATATTAACTTTTATCCAAAATAAAGGGATAATGTATTTTCCAAGCTCATCTTCAGCATGATTCAGCAGCCAGTTTCAGAAGCATAACCCCAAAGTTATAATTAAATTTAAGCTTTCTTTTGGTGATCAAAATGAATCCTGAGTCTCATATGATTGGAGGTTACAGTAACAAATTAACCTTAAGCTGTCACCTGTCATAACACAGTCCTGTGACAAAGGATGCTCATCATACTCAGCTCACCAACTGAGTTTAAGAGCCTCCACGTTTGTCTCTGTGCTACCGAACAAGGCAACACACACATTTGTGTTTGGGGGTGAGGTTAAATTCTACAAATGTCTCAATTATTGGCTATGTAGTAGAAAAAAACTACAATGAACTTAGAAGGGATCTAGATTGAGAACCAAGCAAAATGCCAGCTGAAGATGTAGGGAAGCAGAGAAGATTCTCACTCTGCACAACTAAATGCAGAGACAAAAATAATCCATCGGAATCTGTTGAGACACAGAATAGCCCCATGCCTTACACCTTGTTAGTGTGTCTGCAGTTGAGGTTTGTCAGTGGAATTGCCTCCCTGCACCGACATCTTTGACTATATTTTAGTTCTGTGCAACAAAACGTTCTCTAGCCAAGATATTTGATGACGTTAATGCACCGTGCTTAAGAAAACAAATTGGAGCAAATTCCTAATCCCCTTCTATCCCAAACTGGTTATTCAGCTTCTGCTGCAAGTAATCCAGACAGCTACTGCCTCCAGAACACGAATCTAAATACTGTTTGCTTGGAAATTCGCTCACGATGTTATTTTATCTTTTCCATCAACGCTCTGCTGTTAAGATTGAGACATTCTGACCTCCATGTTTATTTGTGTATGGGACCATACTGACTCAGGCTACTTACAGAGAGAAGCCATAAACTGTAAGGCAGAAGAGGAAGAAGAGAGGGGCGGGCCAGTTGTCATCTTCAAATGATGTCGCAAGGCTCATTGTGCATGTTGTCTGTGGACTGTATGGGAAAGGGCTATCCCCGCCACCAGCTCAGGCCAAGCTTGATGCCACCGGTGACCAAGCACTACGAGTTGTTCCAGCAAAGACGGCGACAGTGGAGTTCCATGATGGAAGGACATTTGTCAGGGAAGATTGGGATAATCCCACCCGCCTTTACTTTGAGCACAGAAGTTGGGCATTCCTCAGCATTCTGGCCTACTTCTAAATCAATTCTGTAGATTTTTTGTTTTTGTCTTTTGTTCACTAGCAGAACTCTGTCTACTTTGCCTTGCTTGTGTGGGTGTTTGGTATACGCAATGAGGCCGGAGACGACGCTCATGTAGTCTGGATTTGCATAGATGCGCTTGGGGATTTAAAACATAGAGATTTCATTTTTCCCTCCTAATGACTAGATACTTATTAACTATATTAAGTATTACATCTATATATTCTTAGTCACAAGTCTCTCCGTTGTCAATGACTTAATCATTTTGTGGGAGACACTAGAGTCCTTCGTTAGGATAACTCATTACTCTGCTGGAGAAGGACAACTCTAAACTACTCTCTTGGAAGCAGGCTAAATTAAAGCAAATACATAACAACAGTGTGGGGGACTTGTGAATCACAGGTTACACTTTGATATCCCTAATAAATCTCAGCACAGGGAAAGAAGATGTTCTGGATAATTCAAAGCACTCCCTTTTTTCAGTAATGGAACATGTCAATAAATCTATATTTTTGGGGGGGATGGTAGTGAAAAGAACACAGAAACTATTAGTACCATAATTGTGGCCCCCAGCAAATGATAATCCAGCTGCATTTAAATAACATATTTCACCTCATATTCTTGGTTTATTCCCATGGGAATTCATAATACAACAGACAAAGTAACTACAAAACAAAATAAAACAAACAAACAATCAAACAAACAAACTCAAATCTTCGCCAGGAGAGCAGAAGCCAGTATTGTTTCTGATCTTATGTCCACGTAGGCTGACAACGGTCTATTAAAACCATTGTGGGCTTCTTCCTGGTGTCACTTTTTTTGAACCCCAAATGTTTACTCCTGGTTCTGCAGGTGGAGGGCAAATTGATCATACTGCAGAGTTTATCTAGCTTTCCTGAAAGTTATTCTCCATGCCCCGGGGTCCAGTTGTTGGAGGTGAGACTCAGGCAGAGGCAGTTTGAGCACACACTACTTTTGAGACGCAGCTTGCTGAAATGGGGGCTGCAAAGCACCTCACACTTGGCTGTTACAGGGAGGTAGATTTTGATGTGTCCGTTCACGAAGCTCTCCAGAGGCTGCTGTCATTTTCATTTCTTGTCACTGTGAAGCTGTTGGCTGTGCTTGGCATTGTCTTCCTTTTGTGGTGAGGGTGTCATCATCACACAAGCCGTCAGGATACATGTAGGCAAACTGTGTAAGCAATTTGGGGAGTTAAACTTAAACATTTATGTTGTGTCTCGGATGCGCCTCACGCAGGGCTCCGTTCCTCCTCCTCCCCACTCAGGCTTAGGCTGCAGCATTCCGATGATGATACAGTTATTCAAGGAAAAGGCAATTTCTGCTCAAAGATGCTCAAAAATCCTCAAAGGCATTTTCCAGACTGCATTATGTAAATTATTACCTGAATACACCGATTGTTCTCTTGTTCAACAGAGCCTGGAGACATCAGACAGCCCTGCATAGATTCAGAATATTGACAAGACTTCTGTTATCCACCTACTCATTAACAAGTACTTGGGAGTTCCTACTATGCACCAGACACAGAAAGTCACTGCCCGTAATCTCCTTATCGAGCCCCATAGCCTGGACCTGTGGCTTGGGCTTATCTGAGGTACAATTTACCTCTTGTCCTGATCTGCCTTTTCAGGGTAGAATCCTGTTATTGCCAGGTCTCTGGGCACAGGGACTTATGCCTATTCCTTGATCTTGATTATAATTCTTCTTCTCTGGGATGAAGATTGTACCCCTGACCCAGTCAGTTGCTGGGACCCCACTTTAGAGTTCTTTGACGGTGTGTTTGCACAGGGCTCTGCTGCTTTGGGGTGGAGCTTGGCGGAGAATGACAGTTCTTCCAACATTTTCAAAAAGGGCTCAGCATTGTTCTTCACCAAGGTTTTGAAGGTTTTTTTTTTGTTTTTTTGTTTTTTGTTTTTTTTTTTAGCATTTAACATTTGTTTCCATCAGGTACACCCATTGTACGTGCTACTGTATTACATGGGGACCTTATACAAACAATACAAACATACAGTGTATTTCCAGCACATTCACTCCCGTATCCCTCCACCAACTGCGTCTTCCTCCTCCTAGATGGTTTTGCTCTTATTCTCTCTCTCTCTCTCTCTCTCTCTCTCTCTCTCTCTCTCTCTCTCTCTCTCTCACACACACACACACACACACACACACATGCATGCACGCACACAAACTCAGTTTTACATATCTACATAAAATCTAAGAGCCACAGATGAGTGAAAAACATATGATATTTGTATTTCTGAGACTGGCTTAGTTCACTTAACATTATTATCTCCTGTTGCATCCATTTTCCTATAAACAACACAACTTTGTTCTTCACAACTGAGAAAAATCCAGTGTGTATACGTACCACATTTCCTTATCCTTGTTCTGCTGTTGGACACCTGGATAGGGTCAGTTGGGAGCCTCGCTGCCAAAAACAAGGATGTGAAGCATCTCTGTGATAGCAGCATCCTTTGGGCACATACTCTGGAGTTTCACTCCATCCTCATGGTCCATGGTCCAAGAAGAGGCTTCTATAAGGCCATCATTTTTCTGCCATTAATTCTGCTCTGGTGGGTGATTGTCTTGTTTCTTATCAGGAAATCCTATGTACAAATGGATCAGGCTAGTGAACAATTACCTGTGGTGTTAATACTTGATTTTTGAAGCAGAGGGTGTATCTTAGTGGTAGAATCTGTGCTTTTCATGCTCAGGACCAAAGGAAACTTTTCTTATTTTTTTGTAAGTGATTAGTAGTGGAATTAATACTGTTATAATTCAGGACCTTATATACAGATACCTACTTGTTTTCATAATATTCCAGGGGTTACTGCAGCTGTGATCTCCATTTAGAAAGATAATAAATAAGTAACAGAGTAATTGGCTTTCTCTAGATCAGAGCTAGCAGGCAGTATGGCTGAAATTCAAGCCCACCCTCTCTGACACACATGCATCACCTCATCCCACATTGCTGCTCTGAAGCTGGAGGATACTTTAGGTTCATATAATGGGCAGTAGAAAACTTTGGGCATAGTTTCAGGACTCTTTATGTAAAATATCACTCTAAACATTGAAATACTGCTCATTGGCTAATTAATGTTTGCACTCCATCAATGCATACCCACACATACCCACACATACACCCACACACACCAACACCCACACACCCACACACACACCCACACACACCCACACACACCCATACCCACACACACCCAAACATGCCCACCCACACCAACCCATACCCACATTTATACCTCCCCCACATACTCATCCCCCCACACCCACATATCCACACACACCCACACTTGCATGTCATTATATAAATAATAATTTTGGGCAAGAATATTGGGGTGAAATTCTATTACTATAGAATATACAGAGGCCAGCATGCCCAATGATAAACATGTAACATTTTTACTCATTTCTGATCTCACTGAGCACTCATCCCATCAGCATTATGAGTTAGAAGCAGCTTTCCCACACTGTTGTTGGATATACAGTGCCTCACTGTAGAAAGATCTGGGACACTGCACTGTGAATGTCACCTCTACCACCTTGGCCTTTGCCTTCGTAGTTCCCCTAAAATGTCTTTGTGCTGGCTAATTTTACATCAGTTTGCCACAGGCTGGAGTCATCTGAGAGGAGGGAACGCCAACTGAGAAAATGCCTTCGTAAGACTGGGCTGTAGGCAAGTCTGTAGAGCAATTTTCTTAGTGATTGATGGGGAGGGCCCAGCCCATTGTGGGTAGTGCTGCCCTGGGTGGTGGTCCTAGATTCCATAAGAAAGCAGACTGAGCAAGCCCGTAAGCAGCACCCCTCCATGGCCTCTGCATCAACTCTTGCTTCTAGGTTCCTGCCCTGACTTTTGAGTTTGAGTTCTTGTCTTGACTCCCTTCAATGATGAACAGTGATGGGGAAGAATAAGCCAAATCAATTATTTCACACCCAAGTTGCTTTTGGTCATGGTGTTTCATCATAGTAACTCAAACGAAGATAGTCTTGCATCTTGAAATTTCCCTCATAGATAAAATAGATGCTAAAATTTTGTCTCTTTCACAAGTATGTTAGGAGGCAAAAAAATAATTTATAAATTAAAGTCCTGTGAAATGGACTATTTTAATGAAATGCTGGGAGAGCTCTTTAAAACCAGATTATGTTTTAAACTATTACCTCCAGGCACTCCCTAGAAATAACACTATCTCCAAGTAGCTTTTATTAACAAGAAATAGCATATCTAATAAAGGTCATGAAATTCCTCTCAAGTACATGAGAAATTTCTCTCTCTCTCTCTCTCTCTCTCTCTCTCTCTCTCTCTCTCTCTCTCTCTCTCTCT